GAAGTGTCGGAGCGAATCTGAAGTCCTTCAAGACGACGTCGTTTTCAGAGTCGTCGCCTAATAATTTCACCGACAGCAGGAAACCCTTGAGCCCCAGGGCGCAGAAATGGCGGGAATCGAAGGGATCGCGGCGGAGGCAGGAGAAGTACTCCGGCGAGGCGTCGTACTTGAAGAAGCAGCGGCCGGTGGCGGTGTTGTAAATGGAGAGAAGCGAGGGTCCGGAAATGGCGGCGAGGGACCAAGAGTCGGATCGGGTCTGAATCCAGCAGAGATCCTGAATACCTAATTTGGACGAATTGGGGTAATTGGTCTCCAGGAAGAGGATGGGGGATTTGGAGCGGAAATCGAGCAGGGAAATGCGGCCGTGGCGATCGCCGACGGAGAGCATGAGGTGCGGGGAGGAAGTCTCGCTGTCGAGGAGGTGGTGGGGGAGTGGGAGCGGCGACCACCGCACGGCGGTGATGAATGGGGAGGCGGCGGAGGAAGGGGATGCGGGGAGGGGCAGGGTGGAGACGAGTTGCATTGAGTGAGTGTCGAGGATGGCGACGGAGCTGCCGGCGGCGTAGGCGAGGAGGCCGGCGGAGGAGAGATCGGCGGATCCGGCGTTGTTCTTGGACGGCGGCCCCGGCAGCATGCAGTCCCATGAGGGCTCGTTGGGCGGCCGCGGCATTGATTGTACAAAAGCTTTGTTCTCTCCGATTACTGGTGGAATCAGTGACTGTAAGGAATTGTGACTTGTGAAAGAAAGATGAAAGAATGAGAGTGGAAGAAGAGATCTGAGTTCTTCTTACATGCAAATTGCGGTCGGAGGAAAAAATAAATAAATTGTTATAAAATGAAAAATTCAACTGGGACAATTATTTATAATTATTTGATTTGATTTTTTTTTTTTAATTATTGTCATTTATTTTTTAATTTTTTGTGTGTGTGTTCATTATTGAAGGGAAAATGGAGGGAATTGGAATTTTTGTATAATTAATTAGGACAACTTTGCTCAAGATGTGTGTTTTATAAAAATAAAAATATAAATTTTCTGAATTACTCCGATTTCGATCCGATTCTTTTTCGAATTTCGGACGAGTTTTTCCGTTCTAATTTCTAATTTGTGAATACCAAAAAAAATGGAACATGATTGAAATTATATGTTCCACTTTCATATTTTATTATTATTATTATTATTATTATTATTATTATTATTATTATTATTATTATTATTATTATTATTATTATTATTATTATTATTATTATTATTATTATTATTATTATTATTATTATTATTATTATTATTATTATTATTATTATTATTATTATTATTATTATTATTATTATTATTATTATTATTATTATTATTTAAAAGTGTTCATTGTAATTCAGTTTCATGTGTGATTTGACTAAATTACTATGGTCTAACTCTAATCACATAAAATAAGTAAATAACATACATAAACAATAGAGTATACATAAAGTGGGAGACAATTAAAATGAGCTTATTAGGGATTAATTGTATAGTATTGAACCAGCCACATGATCCAATAAACACTAGTTCCCTAATTATAAGCTAAAAATAAAGGCCGATAAAAACAAAAAAAAAAATCACATCAACACTCGAAAGCTATTAAAAATACATTTCGCGGGGGATTGATCTAGATCACGAAGCTGAGAAGGACCAATGCAAGAACGACAAATGGGTGGTGATAGTAACAATTTCACCCATCAATGACGGTGAAGGAGCCGATGATGGTGGAGGAGAGTGGCGGTGGTGTCGCGATGGAGAGGGTGTGGTGGTGGTGGTTGGGGTAGGGGTGGGGGTGGGGGCCACTAACGGTGCCGGAGATGGAGTGCGGGTGGTGGGGGTGGAAGAGGTCAGTAAGACATAGATGGACAACTTTTGACCTAAGGAACAATGTTGTCCGAATGCGCACGTGTAGTAATTCGGAGCGGTGGAGTTGAGAGTGAGACTCACGGGTCCGACGGTTGCAAATGCAATGGAGTTGGTTGAGCTGCAAGTGTCGAATGTGTCCATCGTCACTTGTATATTTAATATTTTCACGTGTTCTCACGTTCGCGTATTCTGTTTGTTTGTTTTTTTTTTTCTTGAAATATGTCGTTTCACGTATCCGTTTCCACGTCCTTGGTTACTTATATATTTAAAATTTTCATGTGTTCTCATATCCTATTTTCTTAAAATATGTCGTTTCCCATATCCGTTTCCACGTTTCACAGTGTCCCCATTCCTGTGTCTATGCAACATAAATTATAAATCTTATTATTTATTATTACCGATAGATCTAATTGATATTTTAATTTTTTTTCTTATAACTTTAGCTATAAAAAAAACAATAAAATAAATAAAAAAATAACCCAAATTATAGAGAAAAGATTTCCTTATTATTTATTATTATTATTATAGTAATTGAGAAATTGCATTGTTTAGGGCCCAAGTTAGTGTTAATAATTCTACTATTTATTCTTTCAGATTGTTCTTCAAAAAACTGATCTTTGTGTTTTTTTTTATTCTTTCAGAGATAATCGAAAGAGGTGAGTAAACTTGTAATTTTGGAAGTATCCGTAGACTCTCGATTAACTTGTAATATTTGTGAATACCAATCGTTGACCCGTCGTCATTTTGGAAGTATCCGTAGACTCTCGATTAACTTGTAAATTTTGAGTTCCACTCATTTCACTAACATATTCATCAAACATTGCATGCAAAGTACTAGTAGCTTGAAGTATAATAAGATCCACATTAGGTTTAACAGGAGGAGGAGGAACATTAGGATCAATATTAACGATAACATCATTTTCCGGAAACAAATGATTGTAATACACCTTTAACAACTCAGTTAACAATTCAATCCTAAATCTAGGATCCAAAATGCAACCAACCAAATATATCTCATCAATTTTCTCATAATATTTCAACCATTTCTTTTTTCATTTCAACCACACAGTTTTTTAAAATATCTTTTTTTTCAGCGGTCGCAAAACCCTCGGCAATATTGCACAAATAATAAATAACCAAATGACATGTTGGATATGAGGAACCAGATAAGACATTAGTAGTTTCTGAGAAAATTTCCAAAAGACTACATATTTCAAAGCATGCATCCCATTGATTGTTTAAAACAAATAATCCAGTAGCAGGCACTTGTGTGCTAAAAAAGTTGCATAACAAATTTCGATATTCATAAGTTTGGCTTAACAATTTATAGGTTGAGTTCCAACGGGTACTAACATCTTGTGAAAACGCAATAGGATGTTTGTCATTTTCCTTACAAAATCTATTCCATCGTTTCACAATAGATGTGTGTTGCCATATATAAGAAACTAGAGCTCTAATAGGATAAATATGATTTTGTAACATTGTTAAACCATCTTGCACACATAGATTCAAAACATGACAAATGCATCTAACATGGAAAAACCTTCCCCCTAAATTGGCATGCATTTATCTCGGAGTTCGGGGATACTAGCCGTATTGGCACTTGCATTATCAAATGAAACCGAAAAAACTCTTCTAGTAAGCAAATAATCATCTAAAACTTGTGAAAGCGTCATTGCAATTTGTGCAGTAGTATGACCAGTATTCATAACCGGAAAAGCAATAATTTTGTTCTCAAGTTTCCATGCACTATTAACCCAATGACAAATAACACCCATGAAATCATTACGATGCCAATGATCACTCCAAATATCAGAACAAATAGACACTTTATTATTCATAGACAACAATTGTTCCCTTAAAATATTTTTTTCTCTTTCAAAAATACTTCTAGTGGTGCGTGTAGTGGTTGATCTAGGTTGACGAGTGCAATTAGGACCATACATCCCTTTAAATTCATTCATTATGCAATTATTATCGGCAAAACCAAATGAAAGGTGACCCATAGCAATAACCATAACCCACCCTTCTTTTTCTTTTTGTTTCGAATATTTAAATAAAGAAGAATCGTTACCTCCTTGTGAAGATCCGGTTTGCAATTGAGTTTGACTTTTGTCGATGCCTAGAGCTTGGGGATGATTATTCCTCAAGTGCCGCCAATAAGATCCATATCCATCTCCTTTTTTTAAGGCGTAGTTTGCCTACACAAATTAAAAAGGAAGTATAAAATTAGCTTACGAATATTAAAACTAGAAAAATATTTTATTTTGATACTAATGGACTTACCTTGCAATAATTGCATTGAGCTCGACAAGTTCCGTCCGGCTTCTCAATTTTTTTATAATGCAACCTTCAAATGTCGGATTTAGAAACATCATCACCGGTCCCTTCGGTGGTTGATGATTGAGATGGCCGCTTAGTACTAGCCCTAGCAACCGAATCCCCGGATGGTTGTGGCGGTGGCATTTCCTCTGGCTCATCATCGTCGAGTATGTTGTAGTCGCCCAACTCGGGAATTATCGGTATGTGGTCGGTGTAGGTATTGGGAATTATTGATGGAATATCATGTGGCCAAGAACCATCATAACTGTAGTCCATTTCGGGAGGAACTACGGATTTTCCCTTTCCTTTTCCGCTACGACGTGAACTTGAAGACATTTTTTCACTAAAAATAAAAACATTTTTTTGTTTTTTTTTCCAACAATTGAAGAGAAATTTGGAAATACAATACAATTGTTTTTTTTGATTTTTTTTTTACTAACAATTGAAGAGAAATTCGAAAATTCAAAAGAACCTTTTTCCTTTTTTTTTTTTACTAAGAACCGAAGAGAAATTCGAGAATGCAAAAACTAAAGAGAGAATTGAACTTTACTAAACTTTGATATTGAATAAGTAGAGAGAATTGTGAGTGAATTGGTGAAAAATTGGGTTGGAGTGTGAGGGTATTTATAGGAAAGTAAATAACGGCCGGTTCACCCAGGCCGGTTCGGGGCGGTTCACTAGCCGTTATTTGCTTTTTTTTTTTTTGAATTTTTTTTTTAATCCGGGTGAACCGCCGGGCCGGCCCGGCAGTTCACGGTTCACGGGCCGGCCCGGCGGTTTGGGGGAGAGGGGAATTAAAAAAAAAAAGTAAATAACGGCCGGTTCACCCAGGCCGGTTCGGGCCGGTTCACTAGCTGTTATTTGCTTTTTTTTTTGAATTTTTTTTTTAAACCGGGTGAACCGCCGGGCCGGCCCGGTGGTTCACGGTACACGGTTCACGGGCCGGGCCGGCGGTTTGGGCCGTCAACGGGCCGGTTCCGGGCCCAAACCCGGCATGTGGCCGTGTCTATCTAAGGCTCAAATTAGGGTTTATCCTTTTTTGAAATTTCTCTCTCTCTCTCTCTTAATTATTTTCTTGAGCAAATCTATGTATTTGACAAATTAGTAATGCATCATATATGAAAAAAAAAAGTAAATAACGGCCGGTTCACCCAGGCTGGTTCGGGCCGGTTCACTAGCCGTTATTTGCTTTTTTTTTTGAATTTTTTTTTTAAATCCGGGTGAACCGCCGGGCCGGTCCGGCGGTTCACGATTCACGGTTCACGGTTCACGGGGCGGGCCGGCGGTTTGGGCCGTCAACGGGCCGGTTCCGGGCCCAAAACCGGCCCGTGGCCGTGTCTATCTAAGGCTCAAATTAGGGTTTATCCTTTTTTGAAATTTCTCTCTCTCTCTCTCTTTATTATTTTCTTGAGCAAATCTATGTATTTGACAAATTAGTAATGCATCATATATGAATATCCAGGAGGAGGGATTGTGCCAGGTGTACATCTCTGCAACAGAGGAGTACATCACGGAACTCTGCGAGGCGATCGACTATTTGAAATCGAATCTGGAAAACTACGTCGACGTGTCAGCAAGGATGATGGAAGCGCGACCGCCGCCGCCGCCACCCGAGCCATCGACGAGATTGAGAAACGACGGCCGCGGTGGAATGATGTCGGGCGATGATTACAAGGAGATGATATACAACAAGCTCGAAGAGGTGGATACTCGAAAAAGGCAAACGTGCGTGGAGTTGGAGCGAACTCTCGACTTGTTGTCACTTGTATCTAGATTTCCTTGAATTTGACTATGAGTATTTCAGTGACGATGTGTTTAACTTTGACGTTGACTATGTGAGTCATATTGAGCAACACTATGGAACCGGGACCGAAATCGAGACCGAGACCGAGACCGAAACCGAGAATGGGAATGGGAATGGGAATGGGAACGAGATTTGTGGGTATCTAGATTGGTTTAGGTCTATAGAGCAATGGTTTGTCGACAAACAACGCAAGACAACGGAATCTTATAGAAGAAAATTGGACGATAGCCGCCGTAATTCCACCAAATCCACTCCAATCCCATACGGTGGTATGTCGATGGTGGTCAACCAGTTTCAACACATGCATCTTCATGCACTAGATTGTTAAGAGGGGATGGATTTCATTATTTTCTTATTTCTTAAGAGGAGTGAATAGCAGCATGTTGGAGAAAGACAAAAAACCAAATTTAAAAACAAGTGGCACATCAGTCTGCCATAATAATTAAAAAGTTGACTTAATAGGACTGGAAGTTACCTCAAGATTCTTCTGCTCAACGCTGCATATCCCATTTTCAGGGATCATCTCTTGATACATCCGAAAGCCTTGTCCATGGAGTAGAAACAAGTAAGTTTCCTCCTCTCCCTGAAGGCGCTGCACCCGTGGCAATGCAGCGGGATAGATCCTCATGCACTACATAAAGACTGTCGTGCACTTCATTCGGCAGCCGCTCGCAAAGCGGAAATTGCAAAGGACGGTTGTACATCAAGGGTGGGTTCTCACTAAGGCCTAATGCAAGATCCGTAATAAACGGTGGTGGTTGATTAGGGTGTATGAAGATAACATACACATGGCGCGTTCGAGGAGGGCGCAAATGAAGATTAACTGGCATGTCGAAAGATAAACTTGCAAGATCCACATTCGGCGACATGACGATGCCTATAGGTTTAAGGATCGCACCCCAAGGCACCAACAAATACCCTCCTTCCATAAGAGGCTGATAATGTCGCGGGTAATTGGGGAGTTTTCTATGACCGTACAGATTATGCGGCAAAAAATTAGGAAATGCGGGGCCTATCCCTAGTTCGGGAACTTGTAGACGTCCAACGGGAAGAACTTGGTTTTGAAATAAACATAAGAAACTGAACATTTGGAGTGATAGTACTAAAGAAACACAACAGCTTAGAGATACGATAAACAAAATCTCCATCCAAAAATCCATTTCCAATCAATTAAACTTACCGAAACAACGCGGGGGAGAAATTGAATCGTTTGAGGTGGGGTCGTAGATAACCCTACAATACAACGACGACGACGAATTTCAGTAGGATTTCTAAGGGTAATACAAATAATCAGCTTCTACAGAAAATTTAATCTATCAATTTAAACCTCTACAAGGATCTCTAAGGGTAATACTCTAAGGGTAAATTTAATCTATCAATTAAACCTCTGAGTTTATTGCAATTACTACCCATTTGAAAATCGCAACTGTGCATTTCCCCCATGTCATAAAAAAATTAGCAAATACCCCCTTATACTTATGTTTAGATAGCACACTCGACCCATTTCTCTTTTTCCCGTTGACCGGTTGTGAAAGGACAGAAATACCCTTGGAATCCCCGACTACAATGCACATACCTCCCACTAGATTTCGAACTGCACGAACACTGGCTCTTGGGGTGGTCCTCGGTGGAACTCAGGAATAGGTCACGATACAGCTGGTCCTCTAGTGAAGTCACGGTCATGTCTAGGTCATAAGGACTAATGGTGTACAACTATACCACGGATATCTCTACTCAATTATTGGGAACCACTTAGAGATTTCTAGGGTGATGGAGTTCAGTGAACTCGTCAATTTACGAGCACCCACTTATGCATGCCGATATCACAATACCGTATACTGATGAGATACAGTACACATACACTAAGTGCTAGTCTCTTTATGGGAAAGGCCGATATCCTCATTGGTGGCGTAACGCTTCGACTAAGAACACGTTTAACAGTTATAATTCTTAAGTAAATATCCCACGATCCTAACGATCAATTACTAGTATTTGTAATAACTGTAAGGACTATATCTATGCTTGTGACAAAGGGACAAAGATATAGAATGCCAAGGTGTTTTTTATTAATACGTAAAAATAATGTTCGTTTATTACCATAATAAATACGAAAGACCACATCCACATGTTGGCTTAATGGTCACCTACTCTAACACTTGCAATGGGACAACAACCGCTTACGCCACACACTTTGGCTACGACAACCGACGGAAGAAGTCCCGGAGCATTGAAGATGGCTAAGTCGTGGGAGGAGCAAGCCGACTTAGCCCGGGCGTGCCTTGAGAAGGCTAGACGACGAATGAAGAAATGGGCGAACGACAAAAGACGACCACGGGAATTCGACGTTGGGGCCCAAGTGATGGTGAAACTATTGCCCCAACAGTTCAAGGCGTTGCGGAGCATGCACAAGGGTCTTGTGCGGAGGTACGAAGGACCATTCCCGGTGATCGCCAAAGTCGGTAAAGTATCTTATCGCCTAGAACTTTCAAGTTCTTTGAAAATCCACCTGATCTTCCATGTGAGTATGTTGAAGCCTTATCACGAGGACAAGGAAGACCCGAGTCGAGAAGAGTCACACCGAGCACCACCCATCATGACTAAGTCATATGATAAGGAGATTGAAGAAGTGCTCGGCCGACAATTGAAGCGACGTAGGGGCGTTCCACCGAGTATACAATACCTCATCAAATGGAATGGACTACCCGAGTCCGAGGTAACGTGGGAGACTGAGGAAGACTTGTGGCAATTTCAAGATCGTCTCCACTTGTTCGAGGCAACGAGGACGTTGTCGGATTAGGCGGGGGAGGATGTCACGGCCAGCCAGTTTTGGCCCAACCCTTTGCTAGTTTCCCTTGGGTTGGGAGGTTAAGGAAGCCCAAAACTTAACCCAAATAGGGTTAGACCCAAGTCGGCCCAAATGTATGGAGAAGTAGAGATTATTGGAGGATTATAGAAAATATTCTAGAACCCTCCCATTGTAGATATTTTGTAAAAAAAATTTGGAGTGTTCTAGTGAACAACTCCCAGCCGTTAGATCAAATCGATCTCCACCGTCCATTAAGGAGGTGGTCTAGTATAAATAGGGGTAGGGTCATCATTTGTAATCATCGAACAGATCCAACATCCAAGCACTTAAGTAATAAAAGTATTTTCCATTTTTCCTACAAACTCTCTTATTTTTTTAAGTTCTTCCTTCGTTTCTATCACTTAGCATTCGCAAAATATTCGGGAGAGGCTGACTTAGCTATCGCAAGGGGTGAGAAGAAGCTAAGGCCGCATGGTTTATTGTTATGGGAACAAGTCGCGTGACAACCGTCTCTAGATTGGCGGGAACTTTGGATTATGTGGGCTTTGATGTTGGGATTTAATATTGGGCCTCACTGTTTAGTACGATAAATTATTAAATTGATTTTGTTTCGTTCGGATAATAGCATTTTAATTAAATCATTTTTAGTGATTTCAATTTATTATTATTTTTGTTTAAAAAACAATGAAAATAAATATTTTTGCAAATCTTGGTGCCCAATAAAAATTAATTTTCTTATTGAATATTTCATCGGTTCTTTAATAATTCTTTGTCAAATAATTTTTTGATAAACTATTTCTTGACAATTTATGAATAAACATTTTCTATACTATATATTTGAGTGTTAAAAAATATTTGTGCATTTCAACGATTTTTAGTAGAAACAGTCGGGTGTATCTACGAACTTTATTTATTTATTTTGTTTTTTTTTTTTTCGGTTGATGGTGATGAACTATTACTTAATTCCAATTCTCTTAATCCCTTTCTCTTAATCCCTTTCAACGCGCATGATCTAATTTTCCACTTTCATATTTTATTATTATTATTATTGCTGCTGCTGTTGTTGTTGTTATTATTATTTAAAAGTGTTCATTTCAATTCAATTTCATATGTGATTTGACTAAATTACAATGGTCTAATCACACAAAATAACATACATAAATATAGAGTCTGCATAAAGTGGGAGACAATTAAAATGAGCTTATTAGGGATTAATATTGGACACATGATCCAATAAACACTAGTTCCCTAATAACCTAAGAATAAAGGCCGATACAAAAAAAATATTCAAATCAACACTCGAAAGCTATTAAATTACATCTTCGCGGGGCCGGGATTGATCTAGATCACGAAGCCGAGGAGGAGGAACGATGCAAGAACGACAAACGGGGTGGCGATAGTAACGATTTCAGCAGAGCTTGACGGCGGTGGAGGTGGGCTCATGTCCCCCATCAACGACGGTGAGGGAGCCGGTGATGATGGTGGAGTGTCGGTGGTGCCGCTAGGTGCCGGAGAAGGCGATGATTCCGGTGACGGCGATGGAGAGGGCATGGCGGGGGTGGGAGCCACTAGTGGCGCCGGAGATGGAGTGGGAGGGGTGGGGGCCACTAGTGGGGCCGGAGATGGCGTTGGGGTGGTGGTGGTGGAAGAGGCCGGTAAGACGTTGATGGACAACTTTTGACCTAATGAACAATGTTGTCCGAATGTGCAAGTGTAGTAATCGGGACCGGTGGAGTTGAGAGTGAAACTCGCGGGTCCCACGGTTGTGAATGCAATTGGGTTCGTGGAGGTGCAAGTGTCGAACGCGTCCTTCGTCACACGGGCTACATCGTGTATCCCCGTGCCGAAGTTGAACACTGCAAAAAAAATTTGAAATATTTTTTTAGAGTCGATAGTAATTACATAATTGATTGCATAAACACAAACAATATTTTGGGATTCCAATTTCCATCTAATTTACCACTTTGAGGTGTGCACAATTGTACATCATTAGGCCAATTTGTCAATTGGTATATCATTCACATATCTTATTTTAGATATCCATTTTTAATATTTATATCAAAGTTTTAAAGTAACGGCTAATTAATTAAAATAGTAATAGATCCATACACATACATACATACATACTATCTTGAATATATAAAGCTGTAATCCCAACTCCAATTCTTATTTTTCCACTAATTAAAATCAATATTTCCTTTTTTGTGTGTGTGTGTGTGTGTGTGAGAGAGAGAGAGAGAGAGAGAGAGAGAGAGAGAGAGAGAGAGAGAGAGAGAGAGAGAGATAGAGAGAGAGAGAGTACCAAGAACATCACCAACTCTAAAAACATACTGAGAAGCCCAGGTGGTGTAGGTAGCAGGGCCGCCGGTGGGAACCATCCAACCGGAGGCATCTCCGACCACGTAGGTGGCCGCCGCCGCGTCTCCGACCAGCTGCGCCGCCGCCACAACCATCACCACAGCAACAGCAAAACTAAACCCACGATTGATTAATGCCGCCATTAATTCTTATATATATGTTCTCGGGTCGCCCCCTTAGCTTAATTATCCTGATCTTCTTCTTCTTCTTCTTCTTTATTTTTCACAACTTTTAACTTTATAAAGTGTTTGCTGATTTTTCAACCGTCTAATTTTTGTAGAGATAGATTGAGGGGACACCTATATATATAGACTAGCCACTGAGAAAGCTCCACGTGTAGAGAGAGAAAGTAGTTGTGGTGGAGCTGCTAATCAACTTAACATATGTGTTATGCTATCTAATTTAATTGCCTCGTAATTAGTATGAGTTGAACCGTTGAACCGGTGCAGATATAGAGAGAAGGAGAGTACTAGGTGAACTGCTCACATATTATTTAAAAGAATTAAGTCATCGTTTGGTTGCTAAGATAAAATTATTTAAATTAATATTAAATAATTTAATAAAATCAGTGATAACATAATATTTATGGGTCGATACAAAAAGTTATTGAGAATACCAGACATCAAACAAAATCCAACTATTTAGTCAATAATAGCTAAAAAAACGTACGTGGATAAATAAATGGGATATTTTAGGCAATATTTTGTTTGTGTTAATTTATATTATTGTGGAATAAGTTAGGGATTTGATTATCTACTTTATATAAGTTAAGAGATTTGATTAGATTGTAATTAGTATAGTTTTTCAATCATGTGTATAAATAGGTGCCTCAATCGAGAAGAATACACGATTCAAATTACCATGATATTTTTTTTCAAATATTCTAATAGTTTATATTAAAATATTTTAAATCAAAATAAAATAAAAAGAAGCTAACTTTTCTTTAATTTTAATAATAAAGGAAATATCTTTATTGATGACGTGGCAATCATGAATTTCTGAAAAAAGTTTGATGTGGGGATTAGTGATAATGCATGTGATCAAACTGCTTTTGTGTCACAAGTTGGTATTCGTTAGAATGATTCCATTTCCCAACTTGCAAGCTATGTTTGAATTAGAATAAGGTTCTACAAATAATACAATCAAACTTTTCATTAAAAAATTCCCTAAGATTTTAGAATCCTTTTTTTTTTTCAATTTATTAAATTAAAATTTATGTAAAACATAATGCTAGTAGCTTCACATTGTGGTATTTTAAACATTTTATCAATTAGAAGAAAAATTAAAGATACGAGTCGTGCTAAATTGATCGATGTCGTTAGTTGATTGCTAAACGTCTAAATCGACCAATTTTATTTATCGAGCTAGGATTTAATTGATTGATCTCCCTACATCAATCTATCCGAAAAATCACAAATCACAGCAAAGAAATTAAAGAAAAAAAGGGGGAAATTCAGTTTTCATCCCTGGAGTTTGCACTAATTACATATTTGGTCCCCTATGTTTACAAAAAAACACATTTGGTCCCTCATGTTTCGAAAATTCAACACTTTAAGCCATTTGCGTCAATTTTCCGTTAGTACTAATGGAATGAAGCATGTGCCCATCACTGACTTAACTGACAGGATAACGGTAAATTGACTGAAATGACTAAAGTGTTTATTTTTTAAAATGAGGGACCAAATGTATTTTTTTGTAAACATAGGGGACCAAATATGTAATTAGTGAAAACTTGAGGGATGAAAACTGTAGTTTTCACACAAAAAAAAAAAAAAGATATAAACCAGCAAAAAAATATTTAAAATAATGGACACATGCTGCTAAGATAAATAAAATGATCAGCAGGCTGCTAATAATAGGTATATAGAATTTATAATGCATAGTCCTAAAATATATAGAGTGCTATCACTACATATTATGAATCTAATTTCTTATTTCAATATATAATAGCAACCAAATTCATATTCTCAATAGCAAGATTAATATCGGGGCTGAAATTGCCGATAACAATGAATAAGATCCCGCCCACATTCGTCCGCCTCGAAAGTCCTGAAATATCGAAAAAATTCCGAAATGGATATGTTAATCAAAACGATCGTAACAATGAACTACGTCGGGATAAATGTAATCTTATTATTTACTATTATTTATGCAGTCAACAAATGTCGATTTCATGTTCGTGTATTCAAGATCATTTTTTTCCGATTTTAATGCTCTAAGTTTCCTGTCCAATGTGTAACAATTACAATTAGACGAATGTATATGTGCACGCACATGTGCAAATGAAAATAAATCATAAATACGATACATTAAATATTAACCAATAAGAAATCAATTCTTTGGAGCGAATGTGCATACTTTCATCTTTCTAGTGAACGGAAGAATTAGCCGTAAAATAAAGTATCGGGTAAGGTTTCATAGAGTTTTGAGTCGAGACAAAAACAAAACACAAATCATCAACTTCATGAATTATAAACGGCATTTCTAATGTGGTCAAGGCTTACAAATTCAACTATACGCAAGCTGACCTTTCATCACAAGCCTAAATTAGCGGAGCAACACGGTCACGAACAAAAATACATTTATTGCCTTTTTAATATATTCAAGATATAAAAAATCTAAAACCGTTAATCATACCTTAAACGAGACACGGGATAAAGAAGAAGCAGACGAAGACTTAAGCCCAGAAAATCCAATATCGTAAGATATACTCCCGTCCGCCTTAAACAGCCCATAGTACTTCTCCGACCCCGCTCCGGGTTTCGAATTCTCGTTGAACAACGCGAAAATATAAGCTTTTAAAACAAATTTCGGCTTCAATGGAGTCCCTTTCCTCTTAGCCAACCTCTTCTTTAAATTATAATGGTAAGTCCTCGCGTTGCTCGATGTAGCGCCGGGTTCACTCTGGTCCCCGTGCGAAGCCCATCCCGTTTCCGTAATTATAACCTCCATTTTCTTGAACCCCGCATCATCCAAAGCGGCATACGCAGCGTCAATTTGAGCGTCGAGCAAATTATCGTAATGCAGATTACTCTTCTCGTCGTAGATACCCTCGGTCGGCTGAAATAGAGCGTAATTTATATCGATTTTTCCCGGGTTGTAAGTGTACGCAAGAAACGGGTACGCGTTGAGGCAGAAAGGCGAGTGGATTTCCGAAAAGAACTCTAACAGAGGCTTCATTAATTGGTCAACCCCTTCTTTGAATATACACGAAGAGGGCGGGTATGAATTGGCGAAAACGCCCTGCGAATGAGCGGTCGAGATCTGGACTATTTTGTCTATGTGGAGGGTTTTGGTGGCGTTGTGTATGTTTTTCACGGCGCCCAACAACGCTACCGCCAGGTCGTAATCGCCACCGCCGAGAACTTCGTTGCCCACTGCGATTCCGACGATCTTTGTCTCGGGTAGGAAGGATTTCACGTTGTCTTTGACCCAAGTCAACGCGTGGTCTGCATTACTACTCATTTCTTTTACGTACTCGTTTGGGAGACCTACAACTAATTCGAGCCCACTGCCTTTGAAGGCAGTCAGAACAGAATGGTCGGCATCGAAAATTCTGACATTCTTGATTTTTGCAGCTTTGAGTAATGTGACGACTTTTTCGGGTGATGGGATGTTATCTGCTATCCTGCCGTAATTGATTCCGTAAGTGCCGGTGAATGCTGTAGCGACGAGTACTGAAAATAAACAGCAACGATACAATAAATTAAAAAATCGCCAAAAAAATCGATATTCTCACGAGCCTATGTGATATTATATGCCCAATCAAACAATAAATTCTCGATTCGACTCGATTCTTGATTGTTTAAGATACCGGTTTGCGAAAACATATTCGATCAATATGTATGTAATAGCAAATTCGAAATTCGAACAATTAGCAATGGCAGAGGAGCAGATAATATTAGCTGAATGCAATTCAATCAGTGAAGGCTAAAACCCATAAATAAAACCCAATAAAATTGAAAGAAAAAATTAATTAATTAAAATAATAATCGACCATCTTTCTTGGGGAATTGATCAGAATCAGTGCCCTAAAATCAAAACTCAACTGAATAAACAAAATCTCGAATTGAAAGTTCACGATCACATCATGTATCAATTTACTTTCCCAAAATAAAAAATTAAAAAAAAAATTAAAAAAGGGGGAAATTATTGAATTAAGTACACAGAGAATCTAGAAAGTAAGAAGTATACCATTTATGCCGAGAGAGAAAACCAAGAACAAAAATCGAAGAATCCTCATCGCCTCTGTTTCTTCAAAATTAAAATTCTTCCTCCACCAAAACAAATTCTCCACTCGAGTCAGAATAATTTTCTCTTGAGCCCATAAATAATTCAAACTAAACAATCGGTGCGCGGCGAAAACGGGGTGCTGTAAGGACGCCGGAGACGGCGGTTCACGGCGGCAGGGACGGTGGTTCAAGGGCGTTTTTTGGGGGGTGGATTTTGGCCCTTCGTTCTTCGATTTTCTGCAAGTTGTAACGCTGATTGAAAAAAAAAATAGGGTTTATGATCGAAAACGTAATACTGTGTGTGGAATTTTGATTGGGAAATGTCTTTTCTTTGCTGAAAAGTCCTCTGCCCCCGGCGAGTGTGTACGCACTCGTTGTATGTATATTTTGAAATTGTGAGTTGAGGAAGAAAGGGAATTATTCTCTTTTTTATGGAAATTTGAGCCACTCGCGTACTGTGTGCGGTGTCGAACACGCTCTATTTGTTGTGTTTATTGCAACTTATACCCCTGTAGTATGCCGAATTATTAAGCAACTACCTTTATGTTATTTTATTTGCAAATATCTTCATTTGGCTTAATTTTTTTACTAGACAACCCCTAAACAGGGGTACTAATTGCACTAAAAAAAATAATTACAGTCCATTATTAATTTTTTAGGGAAAATTACGGCCAACCCCCTGAGTTATAGTGAAATTATGAAAATTCCCTCATGTTTGGGTAATTACAGCCACCTCTCAATTATGTATTATCTTACGAAAAGACCACTCCAGAGGTAAATTTAGGGATGTCAATTCGGTAAAACCGAACCGAAATTTTGGTATGTCAATATTTCATATCGTTTACCGAACTATACGATTTGGTTCGGTAAATAACCGAATTACATATTTTTTATGTAAAAATATTTAAAATGAGGGGCGTGGCTGTAATTACCCAAAAAAGAAGGATTTTTTCGTAATTTGGCCATACTCCAGGAGGTGGCCATAATTTGCCCATTTTTTTTTATTATAATATAAATAAATTAGACTGGAACTCGACCTAAAAGAAATTACTCGATGATTGTTAAAATGGTCTTGAACTCGCCAAAACAGCCGAACACGACTCAAACTCGGCTCGTTTACATTTCTAGGCTTGAATACACATTTGCTACATTTCTAGGCTTGAATACACATTTGCAAAAAGAAAATTGAATACGCAAAGCTTATGTGCACTTTCCTAGGATTAATTGTAAAGCACAAAAGGGATCAAGAAAAATAAAATTTATAAAATAAAAGGGATTCTTTTTAAAATAAATTCTAAGTTTCATTGATCTCTACGTGTTGGGGGCAAAAGAAAAGTGGACGACATGTAATTATTTAAAAAATAGAATTATATCTGGTCTTTCTTTATAATTAAATAATAAACATAATTTAATTTATTAGTTTAATTCAGTGTTTAATGTCGATTATATGTGAAAATAGAAATGTACTCCTTAAAAAAATCTGTTTTAAGGTGTTTGCAAAATAAAATTTATTAATTTAATACATGTTTAATTTATATTGTACAAACTACATAGCATATAGTTCCATATAAATAAAATTACAAATGAATTAACTATTCATCCAAATTATTGTTGATAATTTACATTTTCCAATGGTTGAGATTGTGACATCCTAACATTTGAAAATTGGGTTTAATAATATAATTGATATACATGATTGGGCCAACCCAATGAACCTACAATTCCTTTACCTACTGGGTCGCGAACCCAATATTGAAGACAACTACCATCGAGGCCCAATCACCTTTAAGTAAGGTTTGGGTCCGATAATCTCAACTAAGGTATAAATAAAGGTTTTAACCAATTTCTTAAGATATGTCCTATTATCTGAGTAATACTACCAACTGTATTATCTGGACTATTTATACTATCTGCACGTCTGACTTAAGCGTCGGAGGGGTTTCCGCCGGATCAACCCCCGGCCTAGTTCACGTGTTCTATCATCGCAGGTATCTCAAGGTCATCAAGCTCGTGAGCCAGTGATCCACTATGCTCTTCTAACTCATCCTACTTCAACTAATTAAGGTGATCTAATCTCTAGCATCATCAATAATCTTCTAGACTATACAATAATAATTAAGTAGCTCCTAATAAGGTTAGAGATATAAATTAAGCAACAATTATAAGAAAATCAAATATGGATGGATAAAACAAAAGCAGTGGTTGAATATCTAATCACTCACACCTAATAACAATTAATTATATGTTTTCTTTAATGATTATTGCTTAACCTTAATCATTCTAACTAATTCATATATATTTTCATGTAATTAATCGAACACTATTTCCCAATATATATTGTGATTGGATGAATAAATAAATAGCAATAAATTGTTGTCTATATTACAAATATATTGTACTAAGTTTGTTTGTAACTTATAATTTTTTATTTAATTATTAATAAGTAATAACACATCATAAAACACTTTTTTTAACCCCAAAAGATCCATTTTTATGATGGCTTTTACATAAAGATTACACAATTTCCGTTTTCCACCAAACAGTCCAACGCACCAACTTTTTTATTTATTTATGGCAATTATGGCAAAGTACGGCCATCCATGATATCTCTGATATATAGTTAAATTATAAAAAAATTATTTATGTTTGAATAATTACAATTACTCTTCAATTATGTATTGTCCTACAAAACCCTCTTTCCATTAAATAAAGTTAATATCATAAGGGTAAATACGTAAAACAATACATAGTTGATAGATATTTCTACTTTCTAATAAGAAATAATTAAAAAAAAAACAGTAGTTAATTATTTAGATTGTTCTAATTTTACAATTGAATATCAAATCGATGGAGACCATTTTAAGATTATTATTACCATACTAAGTGTAGGAAATATGTAGATTGGAAAAGGGGTACCTAACTTTTATGACATCCAACTTAAATGATGTTCTTTTAGAGCTGGCTGTTGTAAAATTTGTTCAAATCAACCTATTTTATTATTATTATTATTATTTTTATTATTTTTTTAATTAATAAAGAAAAAAGTAAAAAAAAAAAAAAATTAAAAAAAAATAATGGGGTGCCTTTACTCGTGTCATGATCTGGAATCTCCTTTTTGACCCTGGTCTCTTACCACATGGAATCCCATATAACTTGGACCATTCATTTTCCTAATCTTGGAATATTCAAAGTCATTTTTTTTCTCTACCCCTAAAGAACTAGTGCATCGCTTCAAATATTAAAAATTCATCCAAGCCTCATTTGGTCGGTGAAATTAACCATTATTAATTAAATAATTTGATTTAGTTTGATGTTTGATAATCCTAATAACTTGTTGGGTTATAACAGCTTAATCTTGCGTTATCTTGCTTTTTACGAAGTTTTTTTGTTTGACATCCTAGAGCCTGATAAAATTATTGCGTTTTCATTTATTAATCTTATCTCAGCACTCAAACGAGATCTTAGTGTAATAAAAAATATGACATGGATCGAAGTAATATATTTAGCTATTTGAGTCAACTTCACACCGATATCATATGTTAAACTTGGCCCATCATTATTAACCCATCTATTTGTTTGGGCCCAACTCCGATTTATTTTGAGTCAAAAGCATCAAATTTGAAAAACAAGAAATCTTTTTCAAAAAGAAAAAAAACCCAAGAACTATTCCATGTTTTTGTATTTGGGCTTTCAATAAAAAGGGGAAGAAACATTTGTATGATTACTCTCAATTTCAATATTTCAACAATTTTTTTCGTCTTGTTATTGTTTAGTTTTAATGAATTACAAAGATAGATTTTTTTTTTTTGTCCGAAAGAGATGATCTAGTGGTTGGAGTAAGTGAGTTTGTGTCAACTGATTCATGTTCGAATCTCCTTGCCAACGGTCGATCCAACATAGTTAAGCTAGTGTGGTTTACGTCTCCCGAGAGTGTTTCGAATCCCCTTGCCAACGGTCGGTCGAACATGGTTAGTCTAGACTCTAGTGTTCACATCTTCCTTTATTACCTTTTCATTTTTCGCTAGAGTTTTTTTATATATAAATTTTATTTTTATGATTTAGACGGTAAAAACAAAATATTTTTTCAAAAAAAAATTAATTAACAAAGCTGGGATTTTCTCTTCATACTTGTAAATGTTTCATAAAAAACAAATTGAAAAAATAAAATAAAATAATAATGAAATACACTATGGTCCAAGCATAGTATGAAAAATCTTTGAATCTTATCATCTTCTGGATTGGCAAACTGCCACATCACCCCCTCTCTTTGCCACCAAATTGAAAAAAAAAATTGTTTACAATTTAGTAACAATTTAAAAATTAAAAACGATAATTTAAATTCAAAAAAAAATGGCGACAATTTTCCTCTCAAACGCAAAAGTATTTCTCCCTTCTCTTCCATCCACATCTTCATCATCATCAACAACTTCAAATCTCCAGACACAGCCGCAGCTGATTGTGTGCAAATCGGAGCCGTCCGCCATTGTTATCAGCAGGAGAACAGTTTCCCTCAGCAGCCTCACCGCCACCGCCGCTTTTCTCCTCAGCACCTTTTCCGGCTCGAAAGGATTTTCCGGTGCGGCGGCGAATGCGGCGATTCTGGAGGCGGAAGACGACGAGGAGCTGCTGGAGAAGGTGAAGAGAGACCGGAAGAAGCGGCTCGAGAAACAAGGTGTTCTCAAATCATCCACCAAAGAAGCAGGTCCACTCCTTCAATTTCTCTTTTTTTTTTTTAATTATCTTTTTTCTAGGGTTTGCAATTGGGGCATTTTGTTAACAGATGCAATAGATTCGAATTGGAATTCGAATTAGAGAGAAAGAGTGGTTAATTTTAATCACATTGCACTTAATTTACCAGATAAGATGATGAATAAAATATTAAATTCTACTGAAAAAAAAAATTAAGAATCAAATTGTTTGGATTGGAATGGGCAAAATATCAATAAAATAAAATGCTTGAACTCTCGAAAAAAGGACTGAAATTATGGATATGGTTATTGCCAGAATTTGTGATGGATTTTTATCTAAGTTCGGATATTGCAACAACCATTGCAGCATACCTGCAAGATCTTGTTTACAAGCTCAGCAAAATAGGCCAAGCGATAGAAAAGAACGATCTCTCTACCGTAAGTTTGGTTCTCGGCTCAGGCAAGGACACCGAATGGATCAAGAAAGTCAATTCTGCTCTCAACAAGGTCCGCGTTTTCGTACTTCCATTCGACTTAAAAATCCACTTCTTTTATATGATTTTTATTTATCTAAGCTTTTTCTGAAATCCTCGACTCCATAATCCGTTTCGGGCAGTTGAGTTCTAGTGAAGAAGAGAAGACAGAGGCCGACGCCTTCAGTTCCTCTTTTGCCTCTTTATTCTCATCGGGTGAGTTTCTCATCGAGAAACTTATGTAATATATATCTAATTTTTATTCAAGAAATTAGGGCTCGATATATTAATCCACTTTGAACGTTTTGCAGTTTCTCAGAACAATATTGAAGCATCTAAGTTAGATTTTGTGGCATCTGCGAGCGCATTTGAGAAGTGGACTGTACTATCAGGATTGGTGGGACAGCTCAAGGGACTCTAAAGAAGAAGACGAAGACGAAGAAAAGGGTATTATTGTTCGACGTGTCTCGACTATTCTATCTATGAGTTGTTTTTCCTTGGCATATATTCTTCAGGTTTTGATTTTTATTCGCCCCTTTATCGAAATCAAATGAAAGATTCTTCTGTTCTTGGTTTCTTGAGTTGTAACTTGTAACTAAATATTCCACGAAATTACATCTAAATGATTTTTGTTTCCTAATGAGAATTTGAGGAATTCGAACACTTCCACCCATCGATAGTTATTGTATACCCTCTAACAAGTGGTTGGTGGGAATTGAGACGTAATTTTTTGATTCATGTCGGGTTTTTTTGGGACAGTATTTTTCCACCTGAATTTCGAAAATTTTGATTTTCGATTTTTATATTGTCTTTCTAGATCAGAATTGGAATATATATGAGATTTTGAATTTCCATTCTATTTTAATCGTAAAAAAATAATTCGGAAATTTTCAATAAAAAATAAAAAGATTTTGAAATTATATCGGGTTTTAACTCGTTAAATCCCTTTTGTCTAGTTTCATATACTAGACATTCCACAATACTACACTTCGGATATTGTAGTTAGCTCCCACCCTACTCACCCGAAATGTCTGGAATGCCCTTCATTCAACGATTTTGTATTTCTTTTTTCTTCTCCATTTTATGATGCAACCAAACATTCTTAATCCCTCCTTCCAATACATAATAATAGTCCCCAAACATGTCTGAATTCCAAAATTACATCAAACAATCGAAAAAAGCGTCAAGTCTCAACTTTTGCCCCCTTTTCGCGCCACCGTAGCTCCGCCTATCTACTATATGAAAATGAAATTATATAAAAATAAAACTAGTCAAAAGGGATTTACGAGTTAAAATCCCAAATTGTATTTATAATATCAATATAATTTTATTTATTTTAAATTATAGGCGAATAAAAATTGTTTTATATTACGAGCTAATTCCGAAAGGCCTTATTTATATATTGATGGGCCAAAGTCCCAATGGAGCCCAAAAGGGATTGGAAAACAAAGGTCCATGCAGTTTTGACTTTTGACCATATATCCTTAATTTTATGAGTAAACTGCAAATACTACCCCTATGTTATCTCGAAATAGCAAAAACCCCCCTGTGATAAATAAACTAGCAAAAACCCCCCCTGTGAAATTTAGTCAAAGGCAGAATCCCCCCTAGCTGATTTTTTAGACTTGAAATGACAAAATTGTCCCTCAAAATGTATTTATATATATACATATTATATGTATATTTATTCTTTTTAATTTATTTGTTTAGAAATTAAAAAAATAGTAAACAACTAAATTGATTATTTTTTAGATAAAATAATTAAAATATTTATAAAATATAAGAATTTATTAATTGCAAGACTTCAGGGGTATTTGGGTCTTTTCATATCAAGTCAACCCTCAAATAGTTCCATAGGGGGGTTTTTGCTATTTAAATAATTTCACAGGGGAGGTTTTTGCTAATTTATTTATCACAGGGGGGTTTTTGCTATTTCGAGATTATACAAGGGTAGTTTTTGCAGTTTACTCTTAATTTTATATATTTGAAAATATTATTTAATTACTTAACATAAAAGTTCAATTGTTTTCAGGTTTTTCATGATTTTTTCCCTAGATTCGTTACATGTTGCACAAAAACAAATCAATAAATGGAGCCTACAATAATATAAGTGAAATTGATGTTGGAAGATATGTATGAATAGATCATGTGACAATTTGAAATGGTGGTACCCTAGCATAGAGAAATTGGCTCCTTTTTTTCATCCACATCTTTCATTTCTCTAATGCATAATTTCCCCACTTTTTTTTTCTTATTTATTTTATTTATGTATTTTTAACTAATGCACACTTTTGGCCACTTGCCATTCTTAGGCATGAAGGCTCCACAAAAGCCAATTAATTTGTTGGTTATTGTATTGTTATTTATCAAGGAAATTTAATAACTTTGTCTTTATTGAAAATATAAAAAATAAACTCTCGACCGACCTCATTTCGAGTACATCTGACGGATAACTTATGGGTCATTTTGCAATTTCTGAAATGTTAGAAATATGTTTGAATAACAATATTTCAAATATTTGTGTTGCGCTTCCCTAATTATCTACGTGATTTAATGCTCAACTGTAAATTGATAGTTGATAATATTATTTATTTTGAATATATTAGTATGAAAATATAATAAATAAAAATTTATATATATTTAAATAACATATTTGTAAATAAACCCATATACTTTTAAGATTTACATATTTCCCCCAAGTTTCCATATCCCATTTTTGGGACATGCCGTTTTCTCGTGTCCGTTTCCCCGTTTCCCTATGTTGCTGTTTCTGTGGCTGTACTTACATAGAAATTAGTGAAATAACCATCATTTTCCCCTTCTATAATGATTGTTTTTGTATTAGTCACATAGCTAAGATGACTATATTACATTAGGATACAAGTTATTGCCCTATGTGGACACTATAGTTATGTTTTGTGAGTTGTTTTGTTTTATTTTTATTATTAATACAAAAGAATTATAATTGTTAATTTCCATATATTTGGTATCTTTTCTATTATTCCTTGAATTAGTTATATTCTGTCTACCGAAGTGAGTCCCAGTCACATGCTAGGAATATAGAAAGACATACATATTAATTTCAAGAATATAGTTCCATTAACGAATAAATTCTTTGGTGTGTTACCAATATTTCCTGCTAAACAAAATCAATGTTGGAAATATGATGGATCGGATTCGGTTTCGCCTAAGTATACGATACACATGAATGTGTGGATATGTGTAAAAAAAAAATTATATATGTAGGGGATAAATTATAATTTATATATATATATATATATATATATGTCTATAGTTATTAAAAATATATATATATTTTTACATACGTTGATACAAATATATACATATGAACATTGATACATCTCTCTCCACATTTATTGAGTTTCTTGATACTTGTTTAATAGTGAACCGAGACAAGTATTTAGGAATGGAGTGAGTAATAATTTATCGAATAGTTTTTATCCAATATAACATGGAATAACATTTTAAATAATCATAGGTTACCACTTCAAAAAAACAACTTTATATAATGTTCTGTGTACCTTTGGTACTCTTTCTCTCTCTATCTCCTCACTTATTGCCAACATACATTCCACTAAAAGTAATTATTCTTTTCAGATGAATGAATTAATAACTATCCAACACAAACGATTCAATTCAATTCAATTGTGTGAGTTTTTAGGTCATATGTTGCTAAAACAAAATTGAATTATGAGATTTTTAGGTCATATCCGCCACGAAAACAGTCCGATATGGCCCATGGAATCGGAAAAATAAAAAAACCGGGGCCAAATGTCTGAAACCCGATCGAACCGGGTAAAACTCGAACCAGCAAATCGGCCATAGAATCATGTTTTCAGCCAAAATGCAGACCTTTAATTTTTTTATTTTAAAAAAACCAGTATTGAAACGACGTAGTTTTCAATGTTTTCTGTGTGTATTCTTCTCAATAGAGGTATGAGTATTTATACATAAAATAATAAGCTAAACAAGGAAACCTAATCAAATCAATTCCAAAATTACATTCTAATCAAATCTCATAATTATGGTACCCATATATATTAGTATCTAATCATATCTTATAATTATGGTACTAATATATCTTAACATCCCCCTCAAACTCAAGTTGGGTCAACACAGACCAAATTGAGTTTGGTAACAAGGGTGTTGATGGTGAATGCACTTTAGTAAAAAGATCAATAGTCTGAGCAGCAAAACTTTCACAAACAAAATTTCCTTGATAGAACTCCTCTCAAATTAGAGGAGTATGCAGTAGACAACTCGATAAATCACGATCACAAATGGAAATTTTCACCATTCTCTTCTCGAACAAAGGATAAGGCTGCCACAAAGGGCAGAGGAAAAGGCTGCCAACAAAGGTAGAGGAAAAGGCTGCCACCAAGGGCAGAGAAAAAGGCTGCCAACGAGGCAGATGACTAGGTTGCCAACAACGGTAGAGGAAAAGGCTGCCACCAAGGGCAGAGAAAAAGGCTACCAACGAGGCAGATGACTAGGCTGCCAACAACGGCAGAGGCTGTCAATCAAGGGCAAACAAGGCTGCCAACAACGACAGAGGCTGCCAACGAGGCAGATGACAAGGCTGCCAACAATGGCAGAGGAAAAGACTGCCAACAATGGCAGAGGCGGATTTGCAGTAGCATATCCAGCAAAAACACTTTGTAAAGACGGCAGAAGGTGGTGGTGGGTTAACGACGGCGGAAGGTAGTGGCGCATGGAGCTCACACGCACGATTTTCGGCAGCAAAAAAAAGACGGATTGCGCAAATCGGCAGCCGACGAAGTGAATGGAAGGGGTGGTGAGAAGAGAGGCGGCTGAGAATACATATTTGAGAGAGGAGGTTTTGGACAGAAGGAGAAAAAGCCTAGGATTTTATCCCGGCTCTGATACCATGTTAAAACTAATAAACAACGAACATAGTAGAATATTTTCTGTGTGTATTCTTCTCAATAGAGGTATGAGTATTTATACATAAAATAATAAGCTAAACAAGGAAACCTAATCAAATCAATTCCAAAATTACATTCTAATCAAATCTCATAATTATGGTACCCATATATATTAGTATCTAATCATATCTTATAATTATGGTACTAATATATCTTAACAGTTTAGGTTTAAAAAGGAACAATGAAATTCACAAACGTGATTTGAACAACCAAACTTCACTTGCATAGTTGCATATGAGCTGCTGCACTGTTAGGGTTATGCCAACATTCCTAATAATCAAGATTTCGAAAATTAAATAACCAAATTATGGTTGCTTTTATTATTAATTTTTTCTTTCTTTCTAGGATTAAATTATAAGAGTTTGTGATATAATTATTTTTTTGAATAAAATAAAAATTAAAAATCCGGGTTGAACCGGTTGAAGCACAATCCAAATGCTTATCCAATCGAGTTTTCGGTAAGGGGTTCAGACAACATCGCAATAAACCCTACATTTTCTACTACTAGATCTACATTTAAATGTGTTACAGTATATTATATTATTAGATATTATAGGATATTAGGATTTATTATGATTCGGTTACCTAGATTAGTTAGGATTTAGTTATCTAGTCAAACTCTATTGCCTTGCAATATTTCTCTCTATATATTCCATATAATCAACCCATAACATAATGGGAGGTTTCTATTACGTAGTATTATTTCTCTCCTTCTCCTATTCTAATCTTCCTATATGGTATCAGAGCACCAGGTTTTTTAACCTAGCCGTCTTTCTTCTCCATGGCGGTAACCACCCAATTTTCTCCCTCCCCCGGTGGTGGTACTCTAATATTTTTCTTTTTTTCTTTTTCTTTTTCCATGGCCACCCGAATTTTCTCCCTCCCCGGTGGTGCATCTTCTCTATCTTCTTCTTCTTCTTCTTCTTCTTCTTCTTCTTCTTCTTCTTCTTCTTCTTCTTCTTCTTCTTCTTCTTCTTCTTCTTCTTCTTCTTCTTCTCCATGGCCTAAAACCTAGCCGCCGCCTCTCCTCTTCTCCATGGCCGGCGACCACCAATCCAACGATCTCCCTCGATGGTGGTAACATATATTTTTATATTATTTTCCGACATCTTCTTCTTCCTAGTCGGTTATTCTCAAATCTTTTTTTTTTCTCTATCCTTCTTTTAATTATTCTTATCCCCCCTCTCATATCTTCTCTCAACCTCTCTCGATTCATACACACAAAACAAAAAACAAAAAAAAAATACTTATTTTTCTCTCTCCCGTTATTATTTTTTATTATTATTTTTTTTTCTATCAATTGGGAAGATATTTTCACAGAAGAATTCTCTAGCGTTGTGTTTCGCGGTTTATGTCCAGTCTTTACTTCACTTTTGGAGTTTATTCGTTCCGACTGCGGGAGCGACCATATTGGAAGAATAGAATAGGAGAAAGAGAGAAATAATACTACGGATATAAAAGAAACCCCCA